GAGCCCTGGCTTACCCACCCTAAGATGCTTTCCCTACCTTTGCTGTTTGGCTCCCTTCCCCCTAGAACCTGGACTGATACAGATCTTGTCCCTCTCCAGCCCTGCACAGGGACAGCTGAGAGCTGAGTCGCTGAGCCAGGTCTTCTGACATAGCATTCGCTGATTTGAAACGTGTCTCACTCTGCAAGGTAGCACTTGTTTGTAATTTGAAATAATATAATATAATATAATATAATATAATATAATATAATATAATATAATATAATATAATATAATATAGGGGCTGGAGAGATGGCTCAGCGGTTAAGAGCACTGACTGCTCTTCCAGAGGTCCTGAGTTCAAATCCCAGCAACCACATGGTGGCTCACAACCATCCGTAATGAGATTGGATGCCCTCTTCTGGTGTGTCTGAAGACAGCTACAGTGTACTCATAAATAAAATAAATAAATAAATCTTTAAAAAAAAAAAAGAGATACATTTTAAAAAAAAAAATATAATATAATATAATATAATAAATATAATATAATCCCAGTTCTAAAGAAGCTATGGCAGAAAGATCAGGTATACCAGCCTGGGTTATATAACAAGTTCCAGGCCAGCTTAGGCCTTATAGCAAAGCACTATCCAAAACAAAACAAAAATTTATCTCCACCAGCAGTGAAAGGGTTACTTCTGGCAGCTATTCCTCAAATATACAGTGGCCCTGGAGCTAAAGGAAAGACCCAGGGCTGTTCTAAATATGAATCATCTCTCCCTAGTCTAGGTCAGGGACACTTCTGCCAAGAGACAGAGCCAAGAGTACCATTCTGGGAGTCCCCACTGGAATAGTAACATACAGACACATGTAGGAAATCATCTCCTTCCTGAATGTTCTTCTCCGCATTCTGCAATGGGTCATCTGCAGGGCTGGGCCTGGGAGGCCAGGCTTAACTGCTGCTCCAGACGGCCTGATGCATGTGTTCAATCTCCAGGAGACAGCAACATATTCCTGACTCAAAGAATTGGTATGTTGGCACCAAGATCCCAGACCTGCCATGCCTATGTTCCCTGAGCTTTCTTAGCCTGAAGCAGAAGGGCAGGAAGACAGAGCTGGGGCTGAGGAAACACAGGTGTTGAGGTGTAAAAGTCAGAAGCCAGCCACACATTAGGTAGGAAGAGCCTGCCAGTCAGTGGACCTGGGCCTGGGGAAGAGTCCAGCCTGCTCTTTCAAAAGGGAGAAGGCAGCACCAACACTGTATGTACCAAAGCCTCGGGTGATGAGGCCACCCAGTACCTACCAAGAAGAAGAAAGAATAAGGGGAATACAGATTATTTTCTATCCACCTCATCCCTCCAATTCCCCCGTTTTCCCCCTCAACCCCGCCCCCCAACTCCTGCAAGTTTCCAAGTGACGACAATTTGGGAAGATGGAATTGAGCTGCCATTCACTGGCCTGTCATTTGGCCTGCTCAAGACATTCCCATTAAATTTGTTGGGTCCAAGATACCATCCTAGGTCTGATTCAGCCAGAAGACAGAATCAGGGAGAGAGAAGCAGCCATATGCACGCAAGGCTGCCCCTGATTTGATGTGTATGCAACCCCGCAGCAGCAGAGCTTCGTGGGGTTTTGTGTTCCCTCTTTGCTGGTTCGCTTGCTTTCCTATCAAGCCCCAAGCCCTGGAAAGCTGGGTGCAAATAAACTACTTTCTGAGATTTCATTTTTTTTTCTTTTTTCTTTTTTGAGAAGACTCCCATTTAAAACCATCTCTCTGTAAACACTAGCTTCTATTCATTTGCAAGAGTGTATGACCCACGGTTTCCCCAAAGCAAAGCTCGTCTTTTATAAAATATCATGCTGCACAGGTGTTGGAGACATCTGTGACACTGGTGGCTTGGCTCTACAGGAACTGGCTTCTGAGTTACAAGCCCTCTGTACCTCAAATAGCCTTTTCCAGGGACTGACCCTTTAAGAGGAAGGGAGGCATTCAGGAAGCTGAGCTCCACCATAACCGGCAGCTAGGAGCAATTCCACGGAGTCATCATTAATTCTCCCTCCCATAGGCACTGGGAAAAGCACAGGGCATAGCAACATTTGAACAGGGACACAGCATATGTAGTGACAGTGACCTTTGAGGATCGTTAGAAAGGAAACAAGGGCTATGTACAGGGCCACAGGGGAGACTGTCCCCAGCAGAGGCAACTGGATGGGCAGAGGGCTTGGAGTGGGAGCGCCGGGCTTGAAGAGTCCAAGGGTATGAACAAGCGCAAGTACCAAGAGGAGCGGCGTGAGCTGGGGCGCCGTGGGCCAGGAGGCCACCAGGTAGGACTTTACAGCCTTCGTGGCAACTTTGAGAATGACCTTGGTAAGATCCTAGTTCCAATGTGAAGTTCGCAGATGTCTAAGAGCATAAAAGACAGAGACATTTACCAGCTCAAATAACCAATAGGAAGTCCTGTTTGGGAGGAAGGGCTGAAGTGAGGACATCTGAGTACAAAACGTCTATGACAGCTTATTGCCATTGCCAAGGAAACATGATCTGGAATCACCAAGGCTAGGAGACAAACTCCTATGTGTCTGAGGGGGCTTTTCAAGAAAGGTGAAACTGAAACTTGTGCTCAATGTGTCCTACTCCATCCTGTGACCTGAGGTCCTAGCCAACAGAAAGAAGAAAGTGAGCTGAGCACACGTTCATCTCCCTCTGCTTCTCGACTGCAGATGCAATGTGACCCACTGCCTCAGCTCCAGCGACCGGTCAGGTCTTCACTGCCATGATAGACTGTGCTCACAAACCATGAGCCAAAATAATGCCTTCCCTCCTTAGATTGCTTCCTGTCCGGTATTCGGTTACCCCAACAAGAGAAGTAACCACTCCAGTGTCCCACCCTTGCTGGAGAGCAGACAGCCACACCTGTGTCACCCTATGCTCACTTCCCAGTGAGTCACTCTTTGGCAATCGGGTGGAGATGTGTGAACACACAGCAGGGAAGCCTCCTCTCCAGCCCAGTCATTGCCCAGCCCATTACCTTCCCCTGTGCTGGAAATGATCGGGGGATCCCCATCTGTGCTGGAAATGATGGGGGACGCGAATGATGAAATGTAGGCACCCTGTCTTCTGATGCCCCTCCTGCCCTGTGACAGCTGAGGCTTTGGACGTCAGTGATGCTGGTTCTCACATCAACACTTCACTGACGGGAAGGTGAGGTGGAAGTGAGCTGTAGGCAAGATGTCGTGGAAAGCACCAGGCCGTCAAGCGTGGGCGGGAGGGTGGGAGGCGGACCAGAGACGTGAAAGCGTGGAGCGCAGGTTAAGTCCACAAGGAGCTAGGATAGAGCTGGAGTCTGGGGCTGGGGGAGAACAGGGACCATTTCCAGGAAAGCCAGGTACACAGGGCAAAGGGGTTTGGCCTCGGAAAGAGAAGTGGCAGTCGGGCGAAAAACCAGAAACACCAGCAATTATTAAAAAGCAAACATTTAGCAAGGACCTGTGAACTAGCTATCTGATAAAGATGGAGAGGGGAGTCCATAGGAAGGCTAATGGAAAAGAAATGTGGACAGGAGAGTTCCAGATGGCCACAGCTACACCATGTGTGTGTGTTGGGGGGGGCATGTCAAACCATGTTAGTTAATATTCCTGAGAGTGATCCTTTGCTAGACCACACACTCCAGCCCACATCTCCTTAGAATCATACCATGGGTAGCAAGTTATGTAAGCTCAGTAAGGCTGAATGGGTGCCCCATTGCTGACGGATTCTAAAACCACAGCGCCTGTTAACTGTAGTCTTTTGTTTCCCATTTGAGAAACTAAACTTGCACTTGCTGTTCAAACTGACCAACTTCCTGAGAGTTCTCAGACTTGCCACAGTCAGCCTCTTGTCTGTGGAAGGATGGAAGAGAAATCCCGGGGGGGGGGGGTTGCACCAGTTTTCAAGGGCTGGAATTATCTCCCCATGAAACTCTAAAAAAACAATACAGGGTGAGGTTTACCTTATTACTTCCACTAGAATAGAGCAATTCTATCCTGGGTAATTCCTTAAGTAAGAAAATGGCCCTTTGGACAAGCAGACAATGTTAGGGACTGTGGTATATGTGATTAAAGGAAACAGCGATCTGGGTTGCCTCTGGTTCCTGAGTCTTTTGAGCAAATGCTTGTTCCAGACATCTTTGGGGATGTCTGCATAGCAAAAGCAGGATGTGCGTGAGAGGCAGGAACACACATCATTCGAGCAACCTGGACTTCCTACACCCAGGGCTCCTCTCCTGTAGGGCAAGCTGGCATATGTAAATTACAGGAGACAGTGATGCATATTCAGTGTGACAGGATGCATCCGTGTGTGCCTGCGTGTGCAGCCAGCCTCCTTAGGACATGGAGACAAAAGCAGCCAACACAAATACGCTCAGGCTCATCCTGCTTGCTGGGCCTTGAGTGATGGAATCCAGTCTCTGACTCAGGAATGTCCTGTCTTCTGCCAGCATACAGGAAGCCAGCAAGTAGGATAACACCTGACTGACTGCAGTTCTTGACACACCCGGTGTACTCTTAACATGTCAGTATTCTTGGTCACTCCTAACGGATGCACTTGGGCAATAGATTCTTGCAACATAGTAACTGTTTTCAAAGGACCAGAGAATCTTAAAAAGGCTTTCGCTAAGGCTTGACTAGGAGATGCGCTCCCTGTTGACTATGGAAGACTGTTGAAGTCCTGGTTCCCGGCTGCAAGGTACTACACAAGAGAGTGGGAATGTTAGGTGGTGGCCTAGCTGTAAGTAGGTCACTTCTGGCATGTCCTTGAGGACTGTATTGTTCCAGGCCCTTCTCTGTCTCCCTCTGCTTCCTGGCCACTGAGACTGAGTCTTGCTGTCTGAAACCATTAGTCTCTGTCAACCCCTGAAGCTGCTATGTCAACAGCAACAACAGAACCTAGCACAGGCCCTGCTTTCCTTTCCTGACAGGTGCCTGCTAACTTGGCAGAGGCCTACAAAGGCAGTACTGAGGGTGCCAAAGACACACATACAAACAAACAAAACTGAAAATAGTTTTAATTACTTGGGAGAGAAATTTTTATAAACAATATAAAGAATCCTCTTTATTTTAGTTTTCCATGATTGCACAGATCTTGTCTAAGTAAACAAGGATATTCAGGTTCTGAAGTGGTTTCCTGAGTGATGATCTGAATCTCCACGTGGAACTGATTTCCCAAGGCACGGAAATGGTCTTTGATCTTTCTGAACCACTTGTCTTCAAATTCTTTGGAGGACGCAACCACGGAGGCAGTCAGGGCCGCGGGGCCCACACACTTCACCTCCGAATGAAGCTCCTCTTTTATCTTTTCTGGGACAATATCTTCCCCCATAGCCTGTATCAGGATGAAGAGAGAAAAAGACAAAACACTATCCCAGTTACAGAGGCAGAAGACAGAGGTTATTTACCAGCTGTAGAGTGTCCACACTAAAGCCCTGGGGAGGCACTGCACCCGGTGAGAAGCCCTGGTCTTGTTATCAGGAGAGCTGCCTGCCTTGTTTCCATTCTCATCCTCCCTGAGAATCCACGTCCTAAGGTGGCAGCTGTCCCACCTGGGCTCCAGGGAGCACTGAATCAACCTTTCTATGCCAAAGACTGCTCCGATGGCAGTGTAGCTGTGGGCTTCTCCCTCCTGGTGAGAGGCTGGGGCTGGAAAGGTAGGGCAGAGCTCACTCAGGGTATGTATGATGTGGGACACGAACCCATACTGTCCAGGTTCCCCCAAAGAAGTCGAAGATAGCAAAGATCCAAGCAACAGGTTATGTCAACCTCTCACAGACCAGAAAACTCCAACCCTCCACAGCCAAGGGTCTCTGACTGAGGGCCATAGCACATCCCCTAAAGGCACAATACTGCCCCCTCCTGGTCACAATCACAACTGCAGGAACACAGACTCAACCCCAGGATTTGATGAGACAATTCCACCAACTTCAAGGAAGCCTTTCCGGTAAGCTCAGTAGGTGGTCCTTGGTAACGAGTAACAGTGAGGAGAATAGGTCCTGACAACCTTCACAGTGTGAGAATTTACACACTCAGCCAGCAGGGATGCTAACAAGATACTGATTTATGGCTCCTCCAACCTTGACATCCAATGTGGGCATGAAAACTACAAGTACAAAGAATGGCTCTTCACAGGCTTTGTGCATGTGCACAGGTGTGCACAGGTGTGTGCTTGTGTGTGCTTGTGTGTGCACGTGTGTTGGGGCATATGCACCCTTGCTTGTGCATACCAAATCCAAAGGAGGAGTTCTTGAGTCACTCCCTGCCTTCCAGTGGCTGTTTGGCTAGGCTGGCCAGCCAGCAGGCTCATTGAATCCGCCTTCTCTGCCCCCAGAGCTAGAGTTCCAGGCATCTGCAACCATGCCTGGCTTCTGTGGAGGCTGGGGATTAGAACTCAGGTCCTCATGCTTGTGCTTGCAGCTAAGAGCTCTTACCCACCAACCCACCTCCCAGCCCCAAATTACACATAGTCAGTGAGACGCTGTGCCTTTCATTAAACATTACCGATTCATCAGTTCTGGGGTTAGGCTTCACTGTTGCTTCACTGTCTCTAAAATCATGAACTGATATGTCACATGTAAACAGCGGGACATTTTCTTTCAGCAGCATCACAATGACATGTCTCAAGTGCTGACCTCTCAGGTTTGATGAAGACTGTTTTTTTATTTATTTAGAGGCAGGGTCTCTCTATGTCATCCTGGCTGGCTTCAAACCCATTATGTAGACCAGGCTGGCCTTGAACTCAGAGATCCACCTGTCTGTGCCTAACACGAGCTGGTATTAAAGGTATAGGAAACGATTCCTAGTCTTAAAATTAGTTTTAAAATATGGGATAAAACACTAAAAGCCATTTAAAAAGGAAGCTACTTGGAAGCTGAGCTTTCACTGTGAGAGCAGCCAGGGCAAACACTGAGAAAAGGTGGCCGGTGGTGTCAGACAGGAAGACCTGCCTCCTGTGCTTGAGGACTTGTTTGGATCCTGGGAACCCATGAACAGAGTCATGGCATCCAGGTAAGCCCCTGTAATCCCTGTGACAACAAGATGGGAGGTAGACAGGTGGGTCCCTGCCAGCTCCTGCGTCAGGCAGCCCGGCCTACACAGCAAACTCAAGGCTGATGAGACCTTGCCTCTCCCCAACCTCCACACACACACATGCTATGTACACCCACTCCTGCACCCAAGAATTTACGCACACACATTAAAAGGGGGTGTCGGAGATCCCTGAACATGGGATGCATGATGTTGTAGCATGGGAGGAGAACACGGTCCGTGTGTATACACTGGATTAGGAATGGAGCTCACTGACATGGCACACATCTGATTTTAGCATGCACGAACCCAAGATTAAATATTAAATCGCAATGTGGAGAATATGTCCTATTGTAATTTTAGTTTTTGGAATACTCAAGTGATAATGACTGAACTGATACTAACGTGAGTTTCACATCTCTCTGTACTAGATAGCTTTATGTCAACTTGACACAAGCTAAAGTCATGTGATAGGAGGGAACCTCAAGTAAGAAACTAATTAAGACAGGGCTGCAGGCAGGCCTGCAGGGGACCCTCCTAAGTAGTGATAGATGGGGAGGGCCCAGTCCATTGTGGGTGGTGCTATCCTGGGCTAGTGGCCCTAGGTTTTATAAACAAGCTAACCAAGCCATGACGATGAGCAAGCCAGTAAGCAGCACCCTCCATGGCCTCTGCATCAGCTCCCACCTCCGGTTCCTGCCATGTTTGACTTCAGTAATGAACAATGACATGGAAATGTGAGCCAAACAACAACTCCCAACTTCCTCCCCAACCTGCTTGGCCATGGTGCTTCACTATAGCAGTAGTAACCCCAACTAAGACACTCTCCAAGACAGGGCTTTTCTGTTAGTCCTGGCTGTCCTGAAACAAGCTCTGTAGACCAGGCTGGCCCCAAATTCAGAGATTACTTCTCACAGCTGGCCTATGCTGCCTCTGGCCCTAACCTCAGGCAGCTGCAACCTCCTTACGCCTCAGTTCCAGCCACAGGCCTGTCTTCTCCATCACCAGCTGTCAGGACGGGGGAGGGAAGCTACATAAACTGCTCACATGTGAACACTGGCCCACTGCTCTGAAGTGCAGCACCATGGCTGACTGGGTGGTATACTGATTGCACAGCATGTACAAGGTCCTGGGCTCAATCTTCAGCAAAAAAACTTATCACTCAGTGAGTTCCACACTGAAACAAGTATGACGGGCATGCTACTCAGGATGTTCATGTGGGGGGGCTAATCAACACTGCCGAAAACAAGACAGCAGGGGTACGGCAGGTGAATGACGGAGGAGCACTCTGGTGACTTGGGAAACCCAGAGGCACACAGTGGATGGGGACAGAGGCTCTTCAGCATGGGATGGGGTCTGGTGCTGTTATGGTATGAGGACAGAACAAAACCACCGTGATGCTGCCCTACACAGATCTGAGGGAGACATACCTCCTCTATCAGCAGCAAAGTATCTTCCCTAAAGTTGAACGCCTTCACTTTCCCTGCAATTTCCTGCTGAGTCCTCAAGTTCTTCTCCAAAGCGAATGATGTTTGCTGAGATTGGGCAAGCTGAAGCAAGAGCCTGAGGAAACAGAAAGTCTCAGTGTGAGAGGCTTCGCTGCAGGGGCCTGTGCCACAGGGCAGCGGGGAGCAGGAGCTCATCCAGAGCCAGCTACTAACTGCTGCGAGTCTCACGGGCCTCACTAGAACCATCCCTGAGTCCCTATAGTTTCTATTCTGAACAAGCCGACTTCTTTTACTACTGAGAAAGAACTAGGACTCAGAGGGCTGAGACAGATATCAAATCAGAGTAGCACAGACTACAGTGAGTCTCTGTCTCAAAAACAGAAAGGAAAGAAGGAAAGGAGGGAGGAAGGGAGGGAGGGAGGAAAGATGAGAGGCAGGCAGGTGGTTGACAGCAAAAACAATTCACTCACTGAGAAGTTCAAAGCCAGCCCAACCACAGGGGCTGTCCCTTGGATGCTGGCATCTGCTGTTCCCACAGAGCCTGGACCTGTACTTAGCTTTGCTGGCACATGTGAGGAGCAAAACAGGACCAAACCTCAAACAAGCACTTCACAAGTGTCTTACTCTGAATGCCCCCAGAGATCCTAACCTGGTGTCTCCACTCCCTCTTCTGTTCTTCTGAGCTCAGGCCCCTTTCCCTAATGAGGGGCTCTGGATGGATGTTCCACGGCCATTGAGTTCTCAGTACATCAAGCTGAAGTCATTCATTCCTTGTATCTGGAATCTTCTCTGCCCATCTGTTGGCATGCTCCATTTTAGCAAATAGCACCCAGTCCACCACTGCTTCCAGGGCACACTTCAGAGTCTCCTCCTCCTCCTCCTCCTCCTCCTCCTCCTCCTCCTCCTCCTCTTCCTCCTCCTCTTCCTCCTCCTTCTCCTCTTCCTCCTCCTCCTTCTCCTTCCTCCTCCTCCTCTTCCCCTTCTTCCTCCTCCTCTTCCTCCTCCTTCTCCTCTTCCTCCTCCTTCTCCTCTTCCTCCTCCTTTTCTTCCTCCTCCTCCTCTTCCTCCTTTCTCCTCTTCCTCCCCCCC